GCAGGTTTGATTATATATGTCTTGGTGATTTTCTTTTGGGATCTACCCTATGTGGGGTTTGATGAGCATCTTGGATAGATATCTTCTCATCTTTCACGATATCAGGGAAGTTTTCTGCCAACAATTCTCTCTGTATTTTCTATTCCCCCCCGCCTCCGCCTTCTGGTACTCCAGTCACTTGTAGGTTATTCCTCTTGATAGAGTCCCACATAATTCTTAGGGTTTCTTCATTTTTTTAAATCATTTTATCTGATTTTTCCTTAAATATATTGGTGTCAGGTGCTTTATCTTCAATCTCACTAATTCTGACTTCCATTGCCTCAAGTCTGCTCCTATGACTTTCTGTTGAGTTATCTAATCTGAAATTTTATTGTTAATCTTCTGGATTTCTGATTGCTGTCTCTCTGTGGATTCTTGCAGCCTGTTAAAGTCGTCATTATGCTCTTCTCTAATCTTCTTAAGTTTCTCTATTGCTTGGACTGTGTTTTGCCTCATTTCCTTCCTGGTCTCTTGAAGAGTACTGTATATTAATGTTTTGTATTCTGCCTCTGGTAATTCCAAGAAATTATCTACCTCCAGAAAATTTCTTGATTTTTTTGAGGAGCTTGCTGAAGCCATCATGGTCTGTCTGTGTGATTTGATATTGACTGTTATCTCAGAGCCATCAATAAGTTATTATATTTATTCATTTTATGTTTGCTTACTGTGTCCTAGCTTCTTGTTTTGTTTTGTTTTGATATGCCCAAATAGGCTGCTTGTGTTAACTAGCCTGATCACCGGTGCCCCTGAAGCACCAAAGTCTAGCCACCAGGTGGCCAGACTTGCCACTAAGTATGTGAGCTCAGGAGCCCGCCCACTCCTATATGGATTCAGCTCAGGTGTCCAGGTAGTTGGCCACTAAGTGTGTGGTGCAGGCTGTCACCTACAGCCCTAGACAGCTATGAGTGATTGATATAGACAGGCATCTGGCTGCAGCAGGGGGTCACACACTGAGCAAGGCAGTGTCCGGGAGGAAAGCATATCCCCGTTCCCTAGAGTGCGTAGATGGGTGGGTTTTGCAGCCAGATTATGAGCACCCAGTGCTGTTGACTCTAAGGACTAGGGGGCACCAGTTTTTCTTGGGCCCCTGTCGCAGGTGGCTAGGTGGCATGGGTGGAACCACTAGTCCTCAAGCCCCTGATGTGGGTAGGTGAAGACCCTGCTTAATGGGCAGAGCAGTGTCAAATGTCACGAACCTGCCACGTCACAGCTGAAACAGTTGAAGTTAGACTTCAGATATATACCCTGTTGTAGTGTGATAATGAGGGCCTATCCTGTTGAAATAGGCCCACACAACTCTCTACAGGGGGAAAGGCACTCAAAGTCTGTGGACCCCTTATGCCTGTGCCTAGGCAAAGGAGCTGTGCCTACCCAGAGTTCCTGGCTTAGGGGAGCCGGCTGTTTATTTGTTCCCATTTGTTCCCTCTAGAAGGCTGGGAGAATGGCGCAGGTCGCCTGATGGGTCCTACTTCCAGCCCAGGGGACTTGGCAGTTGCTGAAGCCATCCTGGGCCCAGTGCAGAGCAGAGAGCAGGGAAGTAAATGAGAGAGAGGTTTTTCCCGAAGGGGGCTATTTTTGATGCGCGTAATAGGCCAGACTCACGTACTTATCTTTTGCCGAAAGAGGGCTGCTTCTCACTGGTTCTGGGTGGCCAAGTGGACTCTCTGCCGCTGGGTCTCTCCCAGTGTGGAAAATGCCTCCCGAGCGCTGCTGCTTGCCTCACCGTGCACCACAAGCTGATCTGGCCTGAAGGGCTCTGGCTCCCGCCGGGTCAGGTCTGGCAGCTCCTCACTGCTTCTGAACCATCTCTCCCTCCCTCTGCGCTCAATCTGATTCCTCAACTTTACCTTTGATGTTCAGGGCTCCTAGATTGTCATATATAATAGATTCACTTGTTTTTTTGGGTCTTTATTATAAGAGAGACCACCGGAAGCATCTGACTACTCCACCATCTTGGCCCCCCCGCCTCTGCTTCTATGGAATGTTTGATTAAAATGTTCAGTAATGGTAGCCGGACATCATCCAGTTCTTCTGCTCTCATGGCAAAGGAGGCAAATGTTCACGGAGGCAATTAGCCACACATTCCATATCCCCCTCCTGTTCCTGACTCTGCTTCTTCCCCTGTTGCTCCAGGTGAATAGAGACTAACTATTGTGCCTTAGATGACCGATTGGAAGCTTTTAAGACCCCAGGCACTACGCAAAGAACTAGGAGGTAGAACAGAAGCACTAAACACGCTATTAGGCCAATTAACTGGGATGTCCCATGGAACTATGACCCTAAATCTCCAAACCAAGGAACCAAATCCCATGAAGTGTTTTGGTCACACGTAAGCAGCCTCAGCAGCTACTCTTTTGTTGTTGTTGTTGTTGTAAATGTATCTATCACACAACTTTTGCCAGTTCAACTTTTTATAGGGAGTCCCTACTTTTGATAGCTCCTCCACTTGTTTTTGGGTCTGAGATTTTGGTTATCTTCTAGTTTTGTCAAAAAATGGAGCTTGCATTTCTATTTATTTCTCCTTTTTGCATTTGGAACACATGTTGAATAGTATTTGAAAATGCTGACTCTATGTGCAATATTCAAATCAGAAGTCTTAACTGACTGTTTCTACTGACCAACCACTGGTCCTCATGATACTGTATATTAGGCCTTCTGCTGCACCACCTTCTCCATCTTAACCCCTAAAGCCCAAGGAGTACGCTTTCTTTTTTATGGAAAGCCTTTCATTCATTCGACTGCCTGCTCTGCACTGGAGTTGTTCTAACCTTGGGGATAAAGCATGACATAATGCATACAAGATGTTTGACACATCAAAGGCAGGTCTTAAAATGATTCTCTGTGGATGGGGGCAAGGGATGACTAGGTTGGAAAACAGTTTGGGATTCTGAAGAAGCATGGTGGAAAGGGGAGAGCATGAGCTCTGGAATCAGACAGACCTAGACTCAACACATGGGACATGAGGATAGTTTATTGATTTTTCCATGTGTCAGTGTCCTCATATATAAAATGAAGCTTACATTACCTACCTACATGGATGTTGTAAAATGAAAGTAACTTACATAACGTACTTGGCACACAGTAGACACTAAACAGTACTACTTTTCCCCATGAAGAAAGGGTGCTGAGGTAGAGACTCATTTCTTGATGGGGAAATATAAACAATGGAGTTCTCTGGGGAATAGTTATAAGACCAGCCTTGTTTAACATTTCATAAATTTATCTAAATGTGAGGCTGGTACCAATAAATCTTCATTCACGTATGGCTAAGGAAATAATTTATATAAAATTCAAGATACTTTGTGAGCATGTGTATGTAGGCAGAAAAGTGGTAAGTAAATCTCAGTGTGGGCACATATAAAGGAATGCACCTTCTTTATTTCACTCCCTCCCTGAGGTCAACGGAGATATTGGTGCATTCCCTCCCTTTACTATGGGCAAAATATGGAAAACTGATGTGCCAGAGAACTTCATATCAAAAACACACATGCACAAGCACACGTACACACAGACACATCTTTCACTTCTTGGCTCTTCATTGACTACAGAGTAAATTGGCCCTCAAATCCTCCACCATTTAGAGGCTAGACTCTAGACTTAGTTCTTAACTGGGGACCGTTCTGCCCCACCAGGGCAAAAACACTTTTGGTTGTCACGGCTGGAAGTGTACTACTGCAGTTGAGTGGGTAGAGGTCAGGGATGCTGCTAAACATGCTATAATGCACAGGATAGCCCCAACAACAGAGAATTATCTGACTCAAAATGTCAGCAGTGCCCAGGTCGAGAAACCCTGCTCTAGACCCAAACTACCTTCTCAGCCTTTTATTTAGTCTTTCTCTTGCTTAAACCTTCCATTCCAGCCAGAACAAGGTGTTCCTCTTACCTGTCCACGCACCAGCTGAATTGCTTCCTCCAGTGCCTTCCACCTGAAATCCTTTCCCTGTTTTCTCTGATGTCAGAGCTCAGCTTCAGTCCTCCCACTGCCTCTGTAAAGCCATCTCTGGTCTCTGCAGCCAGTGTTGTCTCCCTCGTCCGACCTTCTGTGGAACTATTTCACCAGTTTGGCACTTAGTTAACAATACAAGGTGATATTACTGTCTCCCCAGCTTGACTAAAAACACCTTGAAGGTTACATTGATATGATTTGATTTGAAATATGAAGTACCACCCAATGGGCACCTCTGACTTGATTCATCCAGGGCTTTCCATAGTAGCTTTCCTGCCCTTAGGAGGCAGTGGTTAAATAAGCTTTACACCATCACAGCAGTGGAAAGTACTGGCATTCGGCTTTGTTTAGGCAACTACTGGCTGGATGGAACCCGAGTGCTGGATGTGAGCCTCCTGCTTGGATGAGTGCTTATTCTAAGCTGATTCTTACCTAAGCTGTAGATAGGAGATAAGGACAGGTGCAGAGGAATAGGCTAGAGAATCTGGCTTGCAGAGCCCTGGGAGACGTTCCCATTCATCTTCTTGGACAAGGCTTATGCTGTGATAGCTGGACTTACTTAATGGCAGTCAGTGTTGATAATGACTGTATGAGTAATGAAAGCCATCAGTTACTTATTTAGAACCCAGTGGGTGTGAGGTACCAGGCTAGGTGCTTCACACACATTATCTCCTTTAGCCCTCACCACAATCCAGGAAGGAAGCTGAAGCACTAACAAATAGTAGAGACAGGATTTAAACACAGTCTGTCTGACTTCCAAGCCTGTGCTGTCTGCCACTATGTCACTTCCTTGAGTGTCACCAGGTACCTCTACCACTGTTGATGAGAGAGATTCGTTGTGATATGCCCAGGATGTTGGAGAAATGCCTTGTGGCCTCATTTGAGGTGGTAAATCAGGACCTGAAGTCATGCCTGACGACCCTGCTGCTGCAGGAAAGCCGCAAGGTTTCCCTCTGGGCTGCGCCCTAACCATCACCAAGTGCTCTGACCCTTCTTATTTTTACTTCCCCTCCAGGTGCACTATATCCTTCAGGAGGTGGTGATGGGTGGGATGGTGTTGGAAACAAACATGAATGAAATCGTGGCTCAGATTGAAGCTCAAAACAGGCTGGAGAAATCTGAGGTGAGTAAGCAGCTGGACTCTTGCCCTGGCTGGTGAAAGAAAGACCTAGGCAGAGGGAGGGAGGTATACACACGTTGGTTTGTGTTGTTGTGGAAACTTGGGAACCATTTTATAGTTATCTTCTTTCTTCAAGTTCATCAAAACTGATTGATTTGAAGGTCAGATCTAAAAACTAAATAGGTAGAAATGAGGTTTGGAATCTCCAACTTTCAGGGTAGAAGCATGGATGGGAAAGCTAGATGGCAGAGAAAGGCAAACAGCTTCTGGTTTGGGGAGTTAGGGCCCATGTTTGTGGTTTATAATTCCCTGTTTCAAAGCCACATGTTCCCTGAAGGGGCCCAAAATTCCCTTCTTCAATTCCAGTGTGGTTTCCTAGTTGTGTGCTCTATGAGTCTGATCTAGCAACCATTTCTCATGGTATCTTTCAGACCTCAGAGTTAGCAATTTCCTTATTTCCAGTTAGCCTTATAAAAAGCTACAGTAGAGTTTGGGCTGGGTGTTTAAATAACTCCAGTCCACCCCTACATGGTCCTGGGCTTGATACGAATGTTCACAGTTGATTCCAACCCACCCCTGTGAGGTCTTGCCATCTTCTTCCTCAGTCTTTTGGGGGAGCAGAGATTACAGGCACTCACCTCCACACATGGCAGAAATATCACAACACATTCTCTCTTTAATTATCTGAACATCTTCAAGAGCTTCGTTACTTTGTGTAATGGAACTCAATCTTACGAATCCACAAATTTCTTTCTGTGACAACTGGCATTCTTGCTGAAGAAGCTTTTCCAGACCACAGCTATCGTGGCAGCTATAGTTCTTTTAGAAATGCAGGCTGGGAAGCCTCCAGGAATAGTAGGTGAGTCAGAGGCAAGGGATTTGGAAACCAGGAAAAATAGAGACTTCCTGGGTGAGGGTAGGACTGTAGTTGGTGTCCTGAAAGTAGTCAGTAAGGGGGATAACGATTTTGAGAGTCTTTGTCAACATCTCCCTTTCTTTGCACACACTGGCCCCAACCCTGGAGGGTGGGAGTTGACCGTAGTCGTCTGTATGCGCTGTGTTCCGTCACCAGTCCCTCCATGACTGTGGGTGCACTCTACCTCCTGTGTGTCATCACTTCCCATCTTGTTGCCACATGACATTTCCAAAGCCAGTTGTTTCCCATTTCACATTATTAGTTGACCAACAGTTGCCCTAGAGCTGTGACATTCCTTTTCCTTTTAAAAATTTCTCTGTGGCTTTGTACTTGTCTGTAAGTCTTCAGTTTTGAGAAAAGGGGGTTTTTTTGGTTTTGTTTTGCTCTGATTTGTTTCTTAACCGGAAAAGTGCCCTGATACTTAATATGACACGGGTTCTTTCAGCAAGCATTTGTTGAGCACCTATCATGTGCCAGGCACCCTTAGATGCTGGGGCTATAAAACTGCGTAAGACACAGCCCACACCCTTGGGGAGCTTATAGTCTTGGAGGAGTGCAGAGTTTAGATCCCTCTACCAGCCCTGGTGGCGCAGTGGCTAAGCACTCAGCTGCTAACTGAAAGGTCAGCGGTTTGAATCCACCAGCCGCTCTGCAGGAGAAAGATGTGGCAGTCTGCTTCTGTAAAGATTACAGCCTTGGAAACCCTAT